TGGGTTTCCGAGGCAGTATCACTATGGAAGTAGATTGCCCCATCTTCCTTCCGAGGAGTGGCTGGTGGGTTTGAACCGCCTGCCTTCTGGTTAGCAGTCAAGTACCTTAGCATCCCAAATTCTTTATTGAAATAAGAGTAGTACTGGTTTCATTGACATGTTTATGAATTTAAACTATTTTAACACATGAAAAATGTGGCACTGTAATCCTCTACAGCAACGTGGTCTACAACAAGAAAAAACAGAGACCCTGAAAGTCTTCAGAAATTTTTATAATAATACGACAGAATAATTATACATCTGTTGCTTCTAATAACACATTTGGGCTTGAATTTTTACATATTTTATTCTCCAATTCACTTTCCTAGTATTTCATTCTTATAGTAATTTACAAATGGGTTAGTCTGCAGTAGAAAAGAAATTAAACAAAAACTGGTCCTTCCCCAGAGTTTGAGAAACACTGCTGTAGAGCTCTGGTGGCATAGTGCCTGCCTAAGGCATATGACTGCAAATCAGAAGGCTGGTGGTTCAAACCCACCAGCCACTCCTCGTAAGGAAGATTGGGCAATCTACTTCCACAGAGATACCACCTCAGAAACCCAAGGAGGGGTTGCTATGAGTCAGAGTTGACTCCCTGTCAGTGAGTTTGGTTTTGCGTTATTTCTTTTTTCCCCCTGTAGTGCTCTGGTGCAAACACAGTTTGCTCTATTACCAGTTCTGTGGCAAAGGGAAGACATGCTCAGGTAAATAACAATCCTCAGACAACAAAACCAAAACCTCATTTTGGCCATTGGTTTACATCTCAACTTTATCTATCATTCAGGGCAGCTGCTAAACTGTGTTTATACTAGACATGTTAAGTAGCAGGCTCTTATCCAACTTGTGTGACATTGCTATTTACAGCCAAAGAAAACCACCACTCACTAACAACTGAATCTGGGGGAAAAAAATCCTTAAGATAGTGTTAAACTAATGTTTTACCTTTAACAGAGCTTTCTGTAAAATGTGTGAAGCATGCTTTGGTCTCCTTTACAAGGTTAGTTTTTCTCCTCAAACGCCGAAGAAGAGAGTACTGATGATCATAGCTATTTATAATTGCACTGAGAATAAGATTTTTGTTTCTTATATAAATTGTTTAGGCCAAAGGTACACTGACCAGGTCATCAAGAGACAAGGATGAAGGCCATAGAACTGTCAAGAAAGGTGGCTTTGGGGTGAGGAGTGATGGAGAAAGTGGTAGAGAAATCAGTGTTTCAAAAACTTCTTGAAGGTCAGATAAGGTAGGAGGATACTGCTATTGAGTACTTTTAGTCTGCTTGATTCTAACTCATTTCTGGACACTAATCCTGCCATAATTAATGATTTTATTTCTGCTCTGAGATGTTCTAAAGAAAAGAGTAATGAATGGCAGAGTAATAGCAAGATTAAGAACATAACTAAAAAGCATACCTTTTCATGTAAATAAAAGTGAACTATGAAATACATTAGGTTTACTTGGTCTTCTTATTTATAAAAATACTGTTTCCTAAGAAAAGCTATTGTTAGCAGTTGTTAGCTGTCAAGTAGGCTCCAGTTCACATCAACCCCATGGGCAACAGAACAAACCACTGCCCAGTCCTGTACCATCCTCATGGTTGTCGGAATGCTCAAGTCTATTGTGGCCACTGTGTATTTTGATTGTCTTCCAACCTAGGGGCTCATCTTCCAGCACTGTACTGAACAATATTCTGTTGAGAGGACTTTCACTGGCAAATTTTCAGAAGTCGATCGCTAGGCCTTTCTTCCCAGTCTGTCTTGTCTGGAGGCTCTGCTGAAAGCTGTCCCCTATGGGTGACTGCTGGTATTTGAAAAACGGGGGGCACAGCTTCCAGCATCACAGCAACATGCAAGCCACCACAGTACGACGCAAACTGACAGATGGAGGCTGGAAGAAAAGCTAGACTTCCTTAAAAAGGTAGGAGCTAGGCGAGCTATCTTCTAAGGACAGAAATTCTGCTTCCAAATCCCCCTGAATTAAGTTTATTTTTACAAATTTATCATCTCACTAGTCACAATATACTGGTCTATTATTATAACATGATTTTCCTGGAACAAATGCTTAGTTTCTAAGAGACAGAAGATACCAGCTGAATTCTAAAATGTCTTTGACTAAGTTACTTGTTGTTGTTGTTGTGTGCCGTCAAGTCAGATCCGACTCATAGCGACCCCTCCTTGGGTTTCCGAGACAGTATCAGTACGGAAGTAGATTGCCCCATCTTCCTTCCGAGGAGTGGCTGGTGGATTTGAACCACCAGCCTTCTGGTTAGCAGTCAAGTGCCTTAGGCCCTATGTTACCAGAGCTCCTTTCATTTTTATTCCAGCAGCTCAAAATGCATTGTGTTGTTATGTGCCGTTGAGTCAGCCCCAATTCATAGCGACCCCTCCTTGGGTTTCGGAGGCGGTATCACTACAGAAGTAGACTGCCCCACCTTCCTTCTGAGGAGTGGCTGGTGGGTTTGAACCGCCAGCCTTCTGGTTAGCAGTCAAGTGCCTTAGGCACTACGCTACCAGAGCTCATTCAGAATGCATTGCTTCTATTGTAATAACAAACAGATATTACAAATGCTGTTGTTCAGCATTTTAAGACCTACAACTAAAAAGACCATTTGACCAGTAATGTAGAAAGCCATAAATGACATGGCATACTATTTATCTTCATTAATTGCCTGATTAATATCACTACTCATGTACATATTACCTTTCATTAAAGAGGAAAACAGCCCATATTTGTATATTCTAATAATCACTCTAGTTCAAAAAAAAAAAAATACTAAAATTGGAAAAGTTCTAAGCATTTTATAGAAATAAAAAGTTTTAACAGCTGCTTATTTGAATTAATTATAATTCTTAATCAATGTTACCGACATAGGTTTCAAAATACACAAACCACTCCAAACATCACACATGTCAGCCTTCATAGTGTCAATACAATTCTAATGTAGTTTTAAAGAAAATATGGCTGGTATCAGAGGCAAGACAGCAGGCTCACAGGGCAGGCAGGTAACCAAAACAAGAGAACCAAGTGTCACAGGCCGAAGAGCACTGTGACCATCAGCTGCTACTGAGCTCCAGCCAACTACTGTGTTTAAGGAATACAGGAAAAATTGATAAATAATTTTATTATTGAAAATAGTAATTAGAAAACAGTAACAATTACAAGAAAACAGTATTACTAATAAAATTAAACATTCATCTAACCTAACAAAGTAAGTCTGTGGGCTGGATTTGGTATATGACTACCAGTTTGCTACCTTTGCTACAGTGTGCAGAGTGGCTAAGAACTGCTCTGAATCACAGAAAACTAGATTTAAAAAACAGCCGTGATTCTAACACACTGCATGAACTTGTCCAACTTATAAAACCTGTCTGAGCCACAGTCTCCTTATCTGTATGTCACCAAGTTTTTAAAATGAAGTTAGATAGGTATGAACTCAAAAATGTTAGCTCACTATTGTCAACAGATGCTGAGAGGTACAGATCAAAAAAGAACTGAGGACTCAGAGCAATCCTAGTCTCTCTTTCATCTGGCTGTGGGCTTTATTGTCCCTAAAACTCTTTCTTTCTCACCCACAGGCTATTTTCTTCATTGGATATGCCTCCTCTTCCCTCAGGTGACTTCAAGGCCTTCCTCACACCTGATCTGTACCTTTCTTCTGTGCTTCAGGCCAACCCACCCTCTCCTTCCCTTTGCACCTTCATGTTGGCAGGGAAGTTAGGGTATGTTTTACTCCTAAGCCCCAGGCAATACTCATAAAATCCTGTTATCTCTGAATCTTGTAGTTTTCCCCCCCTAAATCTTTGACCACTGTGCACTTTGGGAATTCTCCATGACAATCTCAAGAACCTATCTGCATTTTCACTGAACAAGGGTTTCATCTCTCCTTTTCCCATGTCAGTTAACATTTGCTCAAGGACTGACAAATAACCACACAAATAGACTAAAACGTCACAACATATTAACAGAAAATTCATTTCTAAGCAAATAGATTTGAAAAGTTAACTTTAAAATATCCATTCCAATGTTCTCCCTCTATAAAAGAAAATTTGTGTTAACCTAATTTAGTTTTTCTTACACTCATTCTAGTGCAGGTGTTAAAAAAAATAGCCCCCCCCCAAAAAAAATTATGCTTGACTGTCTCAAAAAGAGAAGTCACATTGATTTCAACTCACATGGATCAATAGCATTCTCCTTCTCAATAGCAATCTGAAAACCTGATTCCTTGGAAACTCTGGGAATCAAAAGAATACTACAGTGCCTCTCTCCAGAAAAATGCAGAGCCCCCAAAGCCTTGTATACAATTTCAGGAGGGGCCTCACGTTCACAATACCCCAGGATCTATGATGGACTCACCCACCCCAAGGCAAAAACTCTAGTGCTGAAGACAAGATTTGTTTCCATTAAGTGTATATATCTTTTTAAATAGACAGTCTTCTTTAATAAGACCTTTAGGTGTGAGAATACCTAGGGAAGCAGCTTCCCTTTACAACTGTCACTACTTCCCAGCAGCCATCCTGAGAGCTTACAGAAAATTGAGAATTTCTTACCTCTGAGAAATTAACAGCCAAGGGAATGATTCCAGCCACATAACATCCCACCAACATAGCGAACGACAGCATACTAATGGAGATGAAATCATCCATTTTGCCCTCCTTTATCCACCCACCACCACAAGATGATAAATTTTCAGTGACTTCAAAAGGTGCTTAGGTTCTTAAACAAGTGTGGTGATTCCAAGAGAACAGGAGGACTTTCCAGTTCTTTCTGCTTCCCACCAGGTGATCTGCTCACGAAGCACCTCTGGAAACAACCTCTTTTGCTGATATTAGCACCAGAGAAAACTTTTAGCAATCTTAGATCCCAATCTCTGGGTATCCAAATACCAGTCACCGGATTCTTTGGGGTTAACAAAGATGGGCAAAGTCAATGGGGAAACTACGCGAACGAGTGATTTCTTCAATCGTCGGAATGAGGGTGGTACAACTGGCCCGATCTCTCCACAACGTCCCAAGTGGCAGCAGGGCTGGGAGAAAACCTCAAGAGAAACTGTTCTTCTCCTGGCGCCCCTGTCCCCCTGGGGCTGCCTGACGGTGATGATCCCCTCCCCAGGGCAGGCACTAGCCTACTAGTCCCGACAAAGTCCCCTCCGAGTCTTAGATGAGGGAAAGAGTCCTGCAGGCCTCTAACGACGGTCCTAGGGGTTCAACAGCGAAGGTAATACAAAGCTGTCTCTGCCCTATACCCGGTGCTGCCCATGGTACTCCACTCCTCCGGGCCTTGACCCGGAGACATCGATACTACAGCTGCCATGGCCGCCAAGTGGCCACTCTACATGACATCCACTTCCGGATTGCCTCACCGCCCCCTCCTCTAGAAAGCACTTCCGGGTTACAACCGACCTATGCCCCAATATACTTATATGGCCGCCATTTTTCAGTAGGGCCAGTGAAAAAGGACGTGTGTCACTCTTCACACCGGTGATTACTCCAGTGGAATATCTAACAACGAGAGTACGGAAGACAGCGTCTTGAAAAAAAAAATGATCCTTACCCAAATTCATAAACATTCTGCGGTGTAACCATCGCCCTTATGCAAGATGGCTGACGCGGAGTCAGTATCTGCTCTAGCTGCCGGAAATGTGCACTCCTCTATGATCCAAAAGGCTCTTTCGTGTTGCGATTTTGACGAGTTCCGGCGGCTTCTCTCGCGGGGATTGGTTGTTGGCGGCGTTGCGGCGAAGCTCGTGTGCAGTGGAGATATCGGCAGCGGTTCCAGCGAAAGAGTTTGGCACGATGGTGAGCAAAACCTCCCCAGCTACCTGAGCCCCCAGTCTCCCCGGAGACTCCAGTCCCGTGTGTGTTCTTGCCTTCCTATGCCCCCCCCCCCCGCCCAATCCAGCGCGAGCGTGTTGCTCCCCGCCTTTTAGCGCGTGGGTCGACCGTTCTGCTTCCCGCCACGGAGACGCCCGGCCTGGCTCTAGGCCCCAGATCCTGGGTCCGCCCTAGGGTTGCTTGCCACACCGCTGGCTCAGGCGAGGCGTGCGGTGGGCCTAAGGATGCTCTTTCTCCTGATCGCTGTTTGGTGGGGGGAGGCGTGGGGATGATGCTCTTTCCTTCCAAGCGCTCTATCCTAGTGTAAGAACAATGGCCGGGGGATGGTCACCAAACCTGTACCGGAACCTTAACAGATTGAACTTTCTGCACTTAACATGGGGGCCAGGAGAGGTCGTGTTTGCTTTGTAGTGTGTTTCTTTAGTTATTCCCTTTTGCATTCCTGTGCTTTGCCTACCTACCTAGTTTTTCAGTCTTCTGATGTTCCTGGATGTCTTACTTGCTGTCTTCCTCAACTCTGCCTGCCCTGTTGTTACCCTTGTATTCAGTTGGGACTGGAGTCTTAAAAGGAAGGCTTAGCTAGGTCCCAGATTCCTTAGAATCTGGCCGAGGTGGTAATGCACTGGATGGTGGTTTGTTTAAATCGACAGAAGGGCGATGCCTACAGGGCTTAAGACATCCAAACTTAATCTTTTGTTTTCTGGTTGCTCGTTTTGTAACTACCAGTGCCGTTATTGTTAACAGTGAACTATGCCAGGTTGCACTTTTTTGAAAAAAAATTGTGATTTGGTTAAAAGTTTACAGAACAAATTGGTTTTCCATTCAAAAACTTCTTTACATTGGTATGTACAAACCGAAGCGATTATCATGGGGTCGCTTCCTACTCATAGCGACCGTATAGGACAAAATAGAACTGCCCCATAGGGTTTCTAAGGCTGTATGCAGACTGCCACATCTTTCTCGTAGCTCTGCGCCACCAGGGCTCCTTTTACTCAACTTGTTATTGTTGTTATTTGCCATCGAGTCGGCCCCCAACTCATAGCGACCCCTCCTTGGGTTTCCGAGGCAGTATCACTACGGAATTAGGAATGCCCAGCCTTCCTTCCGAGGAGTGGCTGGTGGGTTTGAACCGCCAGGCTTCTGGTGAGCAGTCAAGTGCCTTAGGCACTATGCTACCAGAGCTCCTTTACTTAACTAAGTCTTTCAAGAAGGGGGAGAAGGAATCAGAAGACTGTATTTCTAGTCCCGGTTTTGCCATAACTGGCAGTGTGACTTCGGGAATGTCATTTTACCGCTGTGAGTTTCCTTTCTTTTCTGTCATGTCACCTGTTTGGTGTTGTGTTAAAATGAAGAGATTAAGATCTGAGAAAGTTACAGCAGTTGAAATCAACAACCCATTCTTGGACAAATAACAGTGATTTATTTTTTAAAAAGTCAACTTGAGTAGAATTAGAATTTATAATGAAAGTGAATAATTATTAGCTTGCCTTAAGTACTTGGAGGTGCAAGTTTCAGTTTATTTTTGTTTTGTTGTACTTTGGGGAAGATACTGGATGCTAATGAACAGATTGTAGGTATTGTAATATTGCAACAGTCAAGGATAGGATGCCTATACTCAGTATTCATGTTTGTGGGATTTTAAAACGTAAACCAAGCCAGATTATTTATCAGAATGAATCACAGCTGCTTGGTAATCTCTTTTTAGCAATTATGCATAACTTTTTTCTCTTTTTCATAAAATGGTTTTCACAACCGTTTTCCATTTGTAAATAGAATGTGTATATGTATTTTTTGTACTGATAATCCCCCCATGAAAGAAGTCCATAAGGAATGCAGATCTTCCCAGGAGGAAAACATAAAGCTGGTAAGACATATATACTTAATAAAATAAAAGAGTTCTGAAAACAGCTCCAATAGGAAGAAAGTGCCCAGAACCTGTTTGGGTGGCATTATGATCTTAAAAAATTGCTACCAGGAAAGCACTGCCCCTTAATAATTTAGTCATATTGTGTTCTTAGTATTCCATGACTTCAGGTAGTAAATACTAAAGTAATAAGCTTTACCTGGAGGTTTGTTTTAAGACTAGCTAGCATACTATAAAGCCATTTCCATATGTTACCCTTTGGAATAAATTAATTCTTTAATTTGCATTAGCATAAGAATACAGTAGCAACTGGTGAAGCTAGAGTACAGGGCAAGCTTTATTGCAGGAATTCTAAAGTGGTTTCTATAAAATTACTTTTTTCTCAACAAATGACCCATTGAAACTGCTTTTTTAGAGTTGGTGGCTTACAAAAACTGGATAACAAATCTATATAATGCTTTATTTAGCTTTAACTCTAATCACTGTTCAACAAAGACTTTGTATACAGGTCTGCATAGGTGAGAAGAGGTCAATTAACTCTTCATCAGTTATCACTAAGTTCTATTTTGATCTCAAATCCTCTCAAACTTTATCAGAGTAACTTAGTTCTAGATGGGCAGGGAGGAGTATAATAACCATTTGCTTCACTTAGTATGTTCAAAATAGTAGTTTTCAATTGCCTTCTCAGAAACTCTGGGCATTAGCTATTTTAGCTCCAATGTGTTACCATTAAAAATTTTGATAATTTCACAGCTTTGGAGGTCCTATCAGCATAATGAGGTGGTGTTTTTTTTTTTTTTTTGGTCCAAAAATACTAGTACAGCGAAAGAAGAGAATGTTTGGTCTGATTTGGAATAGTTTACAGTAGAGTTGCATCATACTTGCATTTAGTCAACCTTACACTCTTGGAAAAAATTGGATGGGGAGTAATTTCAATAGACTGTTGACTCTCAGCTGGGCCCAATTTTGCGCCCCCAGGGGGCATTTGGTTGTCAACAATCGTATTTGGGGTGCTACCAGCATCTAGTGAGTAGAGGCCCAGATAACTGCTAAAGATCCAGACCCAGGACAACCCCCACCACAAAGAATTGTTCAGCTAAAGATGTCAGTAGTGCTGAGGAAACCTTGAAATAGACCCACTAGCAAATGCATGCCTGTTTCCCCCTCCCCCAGGTGACAGTAAGGTGGAAGAGTGAGTTGGGAAGAAAAGGTTTAAAAAAAAAACAGGCAGTGCAATGTAACTCAGGTTGAGTACTTACAGGTGGTAACTGCAGTAGGGTTTTGAGAAAGAAGCAGTCGTTAAGGACAGGGCACTGAGTAAAACCTTAGAGAGCAGTTGAGGTTCCAGCTTCTGATGCTATGTGGTGTCTGACGTGGCAAAGGCATACATACTGTAGGAAGAACAACACCCTTCTGTAATTGTTTAGATAACCAACAATCATGAGTGTCACGACTGGCGATTTTACGATATTAATTTCACAAATAAGAGTTAGAAACTTATCTTGAAATCCTCTTTTTCTTTATATAGTCTCACACTATTTTGCTGGTACAGCCTACCAAGAGGCCAGAAGGCAGGACTTACGCTGACTATGAATCTGTGAATGAGTGCATGGAAGGTGAGTTTCATACTAATTGAGGAGTAGAAATCTTGAGTTACTTCTTTTCCTAGTATTCACTGTTGGACTATGTCTCATTTAGGAAGAGGGTTTCTGGTTTCCTTTAGATTTTATGAATTGTTCGTTTGAGCAGGGGTAGTAGATACTTAGGACTATATTTGCTTAATACATAAAACATTAATGATACATACTCTTCTTGCAAGTACGACTACACTGTTTTTCATCAAGTTCGTATATATAATGAATGACTTTCCAAAACTGAACTCATTGCCATTGACTCATAGCGACCCCCTTTGTGTTTCAGAGGCGGTGAATCTTTCAGTCTTCCTTCCATGGAGTGGCTCATGGGTTTGAACCACTAGCCTTCTGGTTAGCAGTCAAATGCCTTAGGCACTATGCCACCAGAACTCCTTATGTTACAGGCATCCTTTATATATCCTGTTTAAATTCAAGCACTGTTAAGTTAGTAAGACAGGCTCTTAGAATAAGTCTGCTTATTAAACAAATGTTAGAAGCTATTGAGGTTTGTTTACTGCTCATCAGAATGTTCAAAAATAAAAATTAACTTGGAGAATAAAGGCAAATGGAACCAAATCAGAATAATTTTTTTTATGCATTTCATAAACTGATGCCACCCTGAAGGAACTTGTTAGCACCTAATTTTGTATTTTTTCCCTCGGTAAACCATTAGACAACAACACACGGATTGGGTCTTGACAAATTGGGTTCATCTCTGTTTAATCATTATATCATATAAACTAGTTGTGCACCCCACGCATCCTTCTAGCAAATTGTCCATTCTTTGCTTCTCCCTATAAAAATTTGTATGTTACTCTTATTACTGCAGAGCATGTTCCTGAATCTGTTGACTACTGTTCAAAACTCACTGGGTTAGATTTTTAAAGTCTTTAAAGCTAACAGTGGTAGACTTGTGCCAAAAAAAACTATTGGTAATAATCAAGATAGCTTCTAGATAACTGGCATTTTTCCTTTCTGATTGCCAGTGAATTTGCTCTAATTTAATTTAAAAAAAATCATCACTCTTCTCTTTCAGGTCCATTCCTTTGCTGGCATCCTTACTTGCCATTACTAATCTTCGCTGATCTCATTGTGGTTTTGATTTGCATTTCCTTAAGACTAATGATGTTGAACATCTTTTCGTGTCCATTTGCATATCTTTGAAGAGACGTCTATTCAGATCCTTTTATCTGTTTTTATATTGTGTTATTTGTCATTGTATTAATTTTAAGAGTTCTTTGTATATTCTGGATACAAATCCCTTATGATTTGCAAATATCTCCCATTTGAATTGTCTTTTCACTTTCTTGATAATAGCCACAAAAGTTCTTAAATTTTGATGAAATCCAACTTGTCTTTTTTCTTTCATTGCATGTACTTTTGGTGCCATATCTAAGAAACCACTGCCTCATCCAAGGCCCCAGAGATTTACACCTATATTTTCTTCTAAGAGTTTTATAGTTTGAGCTCGTACATTTAGGTCTTTGATCCACTTTGAGTTAACTTTTTTGTGTGGTGTGAGGTAGAGCTCTAACTTTATTCTTTTGCATGTAGTTGTCTTCACTGTTCTTTCCTTCATTCAACTGTCTTGGCATCCTTAATGAAAACCATTGGACTGTATATGTGAGGATTTATTCCTGGACTCTCAGTTCTATTCTATTGAACTGTTGCCTATTGTATGCCATATTCGTGATTTCTGTAGCTTTGTAATAACATTTTAAATTGGAAAGTATGAATTCTCCAACCTTGTTCTTACTTTACAACATAATTTTCACTATTTTCATATATATTTTCAGTTCAGCTTGTCACTTTCTGCAAAAGCAGCTGGGAGGATTTTGATGGGAATTTCATTGAATTTATAGATTATCTTGAGGAGTATTGGCATCTTGAAATTAAATCTTCCAATCCATAAACACAGACACCTTTCCATTTATTTAGCTCTTTTAATTTCTTTGAGTGATATCTTGTAGCTTTTGGTGTAAGTTCTTATACTACTTTTGTTAAATTTATTCATAAGAATTTTATTCTTTTTCAGTGCTATTGTAAACAGAATTGTTTTTATTTCAGGTTGTTTATAGTTACTGTATAGAAATACGATTTTTGTAATTAGTCATGTATCCTGCAAGATTGATGCAGTTTTTATTAGTTCTAAAAGCTTTTCTTGTAGATTCTTTAGGATTTTCTGTATATAAGATCACACCCACAAATAGAGGTAGTTGTATTTCTTCCTTTCCAACTGAATGTCTTTTATTTCTTTTTCTTGTCTAATGCTCTGGGTAGAACCTCAAGTACAGTGTTACAGGAACAGATAGATATTCCTGTTTTATTTCTGATCTTAGCAGTAAAGCATCCATTAAGTAACTCAAAGTGGTAGTCTCTGGTTACAGTGTAGAGTGTACCAGTAGCAATCAAAAACCTGAACCAATCTGTGTAGGAGATCCTTGATAGAGAGGAAGAACAATGTGGAACAAAACTCAAAATCATTTGGAGAAAGAAAAAAAAAGGGAGGGGGACCAGATTTGCTGGTCCAGTAGAGCCTGGTGGAACCACTGAGACTATGGCCTCTAGCTGCCCTTCAGATCTGGAATTGAACCCACACCTGTGGTTTCCAGCCAAACAAAAGACAGGCATAGGAGTTGAACATTTACCTCAAGTAGATATACTCCTTGGAGAGAACAATCATGGGAGAAAGAAGGGCTGCTTATGCACAGGGAGATAGCTCAGGGAGCAGGAGTGCATGGAGGGATGGACACAGGGAAGAGGTAACTGTGGGGAGGAGGTGGGAGGGGAGCTATTGCATGTGGTAAACTGTGGTCAATGTCATGAGACAAAGTATATGTGAACCACTGTATGGTAAGTGAATTTGCTCTGTAAATCTTCACCCAAATCACAATTAGAAAAAAAATTATTAAAAAAAAAAGAAAGAAGCAGCAAATATGTCACTTTGAAGACTAAGGAAAAAAAAACACAAAAAACCCTGAACCAAGATAGCTGCTTGATGGCTCTGTGATTGAATATCATATATTATTGGGCGTTTGAGAAGTTAATACAGAGGTACATACAGAGCCTATAGGATATGTTTTCCCAGATAACTAACATTTAGATCACTTGTTTATTCATCATGCTAGTCTTAAAAGTAGAAGTTTATGGTAGAAAGAAGAGTATTTCACTGCATTAAAAAATGAATAGATAAATGCTCTTTAAATAATTAGGTTAATAATGTGGGCTTGCTATCAGTAACTTTGCTTATTTTTTTTTTTTAATAACATATTCGAGTACTTCTATGTTTATTACGTTAAGATTATTCTTTACGTACATTATCTCACATTGTCCTCACAACAACTCTATGAAGAAGTACTATTATAATCCTGATTTGACAGGTAAGGTTTATGGGATTGAGTCATTTGCCCATGGCTTCACAGTAAAGGGCAGATCTGAAATTCAGGATGTCGGAATTTAGAGGCCAGGATCTTAAATACCCTGTCAAACATAATCTCTTCCCTCCTTGTTCATTTCTATCATGGTTTTTTTAGATTGCGTCAGAATTGGGGGTGGTGGTGATGGAAAAGCATTCAATTGTCATCCGTTGTCAGTTACCAAGTATAGTGTTTTTCTTTACTTGCTCTGAGGCTTTAGTAATACTGTTTATTGAAAAAACTTCATGGTAGGGCCCAAGTGTCCTCACTTATTTGAACCCATCGGATTACAATTCCTTAAAGTCCCTTTAGATCCAGTGGTTTGAAGTAACTGTGTTATTTTATTATTAAGGCATAAAATTGTTAATAATTTGGTGAATTTGTAAAATTAGAAAAAAATTGCTAGACACAGTAATTAAAACAAAAATTATCAACCTAAAGTCTTTTTTTCCAACCCAACTTTGTAAAAAAAATAAATAAATCTTATGATGCTAATATTTAACAGTGCTCATTTGTAGAAGTTTATGCAATTGTAAGATCTTGGGTTCTTCCCCTCTCTTAGGCGTTTGTAAAATGTATGAAGAACATCTGAAAAGAATGAATCCCAACAGTCCCTCTATCACATATGATATCAGTCAGTTGTTTGACTTTATTGATGATCTGGCAGACCTCAGCTGTCTTGTGTAAGTATTAGCTATCATTTCTTATAACTTGTATTTTTCTATCATTTATCTGTTTGTTTGAGGTGATTTATAGTATTGGGAGCTCACGAAGTGCTGGCATTGATCTTTGCATTTTGAGTATTATATAATAATTTATATTTCATCTACATGTAAGTTAAGTTGGCAACATATTCATAAAACTAAAGGCACAAGAAAATCTTAAGAACTTGACTATTTGATGCAGTTAGTATGCAGAGAGAATGCTAATTAAGAAATTCAACTTTCTTTATTTTTTCTTAGTCTTTGTCCAAAACCAGTCAGCTTTGGACTTAAACTATGATTTTTCTCTTTCCATGGCATTATTTTAAAAACTTAAATGTATGTAGAACTGAAGCGGAATTTTATTTTAACCCTACGCTGTATTAAACATGTAAATTCTAGTATGTTAGAACGAGACTTTTTAGATGCTTGTATTTTCTATTCCAGAGATTTGTCAAATTAAAATTTTTTTTCTAATGTTGTATTTGTTAAAATAATTTGTATTGCTAGTCTGCTTCTACCACTACCACCAATGAGCATAAAGTGATACAGACTTAATTCTCTTCTCAACATTTTTGAATGTAAGAGTAAGTGGAAGTAGACCTGATCTTACAGAGGAAGAAATACCTTATAGAGGTAATCGTCAGTCAGCTGGCATTTGAGTACTTATTACATGCCAGGCACTGTGCTAGAAGCTGAAGGCACATTAGTGAAAAACATAGGTCCTAATGTAGACACTTTTTGGACAGGGTTTCAAAATGGGTTCAATCATGGCTGAGGAAAACACGGGCAATGTCCATATTGCATACAAAAGAAACCAAACCGAACTCACTGCTGTCCAGTTGGACCTGACTCAGTGACCCCTCCTTGGGTTTCTAAGGCGATATCACTATGGAAGTAGATTGCCCAACCTGCCTTCCAAGGAGTGGCTCGTGGTTTTGAACTGCTCAGTCAAATGCCTTAGGCACCACGCTACCAGATAACTCGGGTGCGTGGATTTTGACCCGCAGGCAGTGGTACCCTGCTTAAAGATGGCAGCCAACCAACACACATTCTGAGTGCCACAGTCAGCTGCCATCTTTGAGCAGGACACCTCTGTTTCCTACTCAGGTCAAAATCCAACCATGCAAGAGACTTGGTTGCTGTGCAATGCATACACTACCCTTGTTTCTATCTGCCATGACTGAACTGGTTAAAACTCATTTGAAACCTTGTTCTTGGATCACTGCTGGAGCCAAGCCTGGCACCTGACTGTACCTGTGTTGTCTCCCAAAGGTTCTGGTGAGAACAGATGTGTCCTCAGGGTTTGTGAGGCGTTTGTTTTCTCCACCCCTTCACTGTGTTTCAAGTATAGCCATTTCCCTTTTCTCATGCAAAACATTCAAGTGATCTGTTTCTAGTCTTCAATGAAATGTGTTAAGAAAGGTTTTATTATAATATAAACTCAGAAAACTGTTAAGAGGCCAAAGCTGCAACTTCTCTGTTGGTTTTATAATGTCTGTGATTGATTTGCTTAGAGTTTGACACACATATACACAACAAGACCAAATACATTCATTCAGCAAGTCAGTTAGAGAGCTAACTGTGAACCAAGTAATTAAGACTGAATAACCTGAAATTGAAATGGGAGTGAGGGGACAGGAGTGGAGTGGAGACAGAGGTAAGATAAATTAATTATAGGTGTCAGAGGGGTCATACCCGGCACATAGTTGAGGCTGAGTAGATGTATAAATGCATGCCACCTATATAATATGATTTGAGGCATAGTTTTTTAATTACTGATAATTTTTCTTTGCTCTTGGGATTAAATGTTGCTGCCATGGAGTCAATTTCGGTTCTTGGTGAGCCTTCCCAGGTACCTCTGGATGGGTTTGAACAGTTAGCCTTTTGGTTGGTAGTTGAGTGCTTAACTGTTTGCACTACTCATGGACTCCTGGCATAATCTTTAGAGAGCTATATTCTGAATTGATAGCAAAGCCAACCAAACTCACTGCCATCATGTAGATTCTGATTACAGTGACTCCCCTTGGGTTTCCGAGGCTGTAAATCTATATGGAAGCTGACTGCCTCATCTTTCTTCCATGGTGGCTGGTGGGTTTAAACCACCAACATTTTGGTTAACAGCCAAATGCTTTAACCACTGCACCACTAGAGCTCCATTCTGAATTAAAAGGGTGGTGGAAAGAAAAATAAAACAATCTAATAGGACTTATTTCATGTTAAATTTTGTGGCATCTTATACTCTGAATTTTGCAGGTTATTTATTTGATGAAACTGTAGGGTTTTTAAAATACATTTTTGTTCTAGCTATATTTGTTTTGGGAAATTTTCACACTTGAACTTAAAAACTGCCAGTTGTTTTAATTGGCACATGGTAAGATTTTAACAGAGGTGATGAGTGATGAAAGAAGCCTTAGTGGTACGGTAGCTAAGCGCTCGGCTGCTAATTGACAGATCAGAAGTTTGAAGCCCCTGGCCACTGTGTGGCAGAAAGATGAGGCGGTCTGCTTCAGCCTTGTAAACTGGGGCAGTTCCACTGTGTCCTGTAGGGTTGCTATGAGTCAGTCAGAATCAACTCAAGGGCCACAGATTTGGGGTAGGTTGGTTTATTTCAATATGTGACAATATCATCACTTCATTCTGTAAAAGAACGGTGCAGTTTATTTATTTTCTTAATTATTGGCTTTCTGATTTTACTAAAATCACTTCCTGAGACATGAAGTATCCAATTTTGATGCTTTGGGCTGTGGTACTTAGTCCCAGTAGACGGGAAGTTACTTAAGCCAAGGATCTTGCTTAACTCATCTCAGGAGGCAGTGATAAAGAATAGCTGTTACTGGAATTAGACATAGTTTGGATCTCTAAGTCTCAGTTTCCTCATTTGTAAAATTTGTAAGTTGTACCTCACAGGACTACTTGTGAGGATCAAATACTTGCTTAGCACAGCAGTATCAGATAGATATGGCAGGAACTCAGTTTTAACTAGATTGACAGGTCAGACAGGGTTTTCTTCTTGGTTGTAGTATGTTGGTTCCTTCAAATATGCAATGAGTAGACTGGCTCATGAATTTCAAATTCTGTAAATGAGATAAATTAGACTGTTAACCAGCGAAGAAGTTTTGAGTTTTGGTTTTTTGGTTTTGGGGTTTTTTTGACAGTGTGAAAATTACACAGCAGAACAGTGGTTAGAAGAAACTTACTACAAGTACGTCTTAATGACAAAACATAACCTTTCTGATGTTATGCCATTGATGTAGACCAGAAGCTAAGGTGATTTCTGATACGTGTTATTAAAGCCAATAGGGGAGAGGCTTCTTCCTGTCCTGGGCAATTCTTTCCAGCGACAGTATTTCAGGGATTACTAGGAAAGAGATTAATGGTATCTGTCATTTTTAATAGTCTTTCTGAAAAGCTATAAACTGAAGTTAGTTGGTTTTCTGTATCAGTTGTTGAAACATTTTTGGCCTCTGAAAACTTTCAAAATCAAATTTAGAACCATTTTGCCCACAAGGGTCCCTTCCTTTTGTTATTTGAATATTCAGTTAAAAAAAATAAAGTCACTCACAGAGGTCTTCAGCTACTGAGGTGCTTCATACTCGTCTCCCCAACGAAGGGTTATGACCAGCGATGGAGTCGTGTTGGGTTTCTGTTACTAACTTTATGTGGGCATGATTTAGGCCTTAGCTAGTATAGGAGGAAATGGAATAAATAAGATTCTACTTTGTGGCATAATTAAACCCAGAACATGCTGACCATGTGTCAGCAATAAAATTTAGGCATGAAGGACTTAATATTTTATATATTTAAAGTGAGAGTATGAATTTGTTTAGATTTTTCTGATCCATTAGTTTATCTTAATATGCTTTTTATAAGGTTGAAATAGCAGCCTTTGAATATGCGTGCTCTCTTTCCATGGTTGCTTAGAGACAAAAGGGACATTTTCATTTTCAGTTATTGTAATAAGGAGGTACTCTTAATCAAGAAGATAACTTAATATCATTGAAGGACCTGCCGGTGTCACTGTTCAGACCCACAGCTTCTGTTCTTGTATAAACCTGCATTCACTGACCATAACAATAGGCTAAAATAGTCTTCTGTGCTAACAGTTAGATGTTTTATTAATGTACTTAACATTTAATTGTCTCCTTTTCAAGTGCCAGTTAACAGCCATCCACACAGCATTCCATAAAGAGGGAATTATTACTATTTCATGAGTTGGAAAATAGCATACAAGCTGATGGATACCTAAATGTTCACAAGCCAAAGTGATCTGCTGGGAGTAATGGTCTAAATAAGGCTCTCCCACCCAGATCCTATAGTTCTGAAAAGTCCCCTTCCTTTTTTAGTTCTCTTCCAGTGTTAATGTAAACATTATAAGGTCTATTCTGCTATACCTTGAAGTAGAGTAGATTAGCATTTATTTAATTAGGAAGCGTGAACAGAGGATATAAAAAGAAAATTGTTTCACTTTTTAGAATATTTCTCTTTGTGACAAAAGGACATTTGTAAAGAGCCCAAGGTTTCATTTTTTTCTGGTTAAACATTTTGTAAAATGGAAGTTTGTATATTTTTAATAAACTAGATTCTGACCTTATCATTGGTGGGGAAGAATATGATATTAATGGCATTAAACCATTCCTGCTTTGGGGTTTGTTTCTTTTGCCAAAAATAGGAGTTATGTGTGTAGCTTAGTGGCTAACAGTGAGGGCTCTGGGGTTAGGAATGTTTAAGTTCTACTACTCACACAAGGTCATGGGCTTCACATCTTTTAGCCTCGGTTTCTTCACTTTTAACACAAGGATAATAAATTGTACCTATGTACTGAGTTGTACAAAAGATGAAGTTTGAGTTAATTCAGATAAGCACTTAAAACTACCTTATACTTGGTAACTTTTTAGTAGGTGTTTATTTATAAATGATAATAGTATATAATATCTTTTGCTGAGAAGTTAAAAATGAAGCTTCCAGCTAAAACAAGACAGTAATTGACAAATCCAGTACTTCGTTTGTGGGAGCCTATCCCTAGGTTGTCTTTTTAGGCAGACTGCCTCTCCACCTCCAGGATGCTGTGCACTGTTTCCAGCAGATGGGGTATGTGGCTTTGAAACATGGTGAATGTTCTTTGCAAAATCTCTGGTCACTGATTGTCTCCTTTTCTTAGACTGTAGTTTTAGTTTTGGCTCCAGAAATGAATTGATTGTTTAAACAAATAGATTTCAAGTTTCAGGCCAAGTGGAGTGTTGTTTTCCTTGTATTTTGGTTCCTGTAGAGATAACCTTGAATAATTGGCTGTTAGGTGATGCCTTCAGCTCTAAAAACACTGGGAGTCCTGTTGGAGTTTTTACTGTTCATGCTACTCCTGACATTCCTGACCATTCTCTGATAAGAGCCATTTGTTGTTGTTGTTGGGTGCCATCGAGTGGGACCCAACTCATAGCAACCCGTCCTTGGGTTTCCGAGGCAGTATCACTACGGAAGTAGATTGCCCAACCTTCCTTCCAAGGAGTGGCTGGTGGATTTGAACCGCCAGCCTTCTGGTTAGCAGTCAAATGCCTTAGGCATTATGCTACCAGAGCTCCTAAGAGCCATTTGGAAGCTCTTTTTATGTTCAAAAATTGCCTTCTGATCATTCTACGTAGGCCTCTAGCATTATTTAAAAAGTAAATCCTAAAAATACAGGTTATGTGATTTCCTTCTCTTAATTACTTTAGGATGAAGAAAATCAACATGAAATCTTTAACATGTTTTTAAACGTTTTTCAGTAAATTAAAAATAAATTTCCAGGTCTAAAAAGTTCATAATAGTGTTCGTTTTTTTCTTTAATCCTAAAAGAACCATCAAAATACTAACTGTATGAGAAAGGGCACATGGTTTCTCATCATACTCTGACAAGAAGTAGATCTGTAACACACTGAGCATTTAACATAATGTTTCTGGACCTTGGTTTCTTTTTCCACTGTAAGATTGTACATGGTGATGCAAAGTTCACATCACTTAAAATTTAATAGTGATATAATCAGCTCTTAACTTTACATTAAATCCATGCATGACATACACACATTTATGCCATCATTGGGCAGTTACAATTTGGAGCTTTGCCAACAGTCATTGACCACTCTAACCTTGCTTACAACCTTTTTGTTCTTCAGGTACCGAGCTGATACCCAGACATACCAGCCTTACAACAAAGACTGGATCAAGGAGAAGATCTACGTGCTGCTTCGCCGGCAGGCCCAACAGGCTGGGAAATAGTTGAGTTGGAAGCGTTAGGGGGATGGGGGTGGGCTTGGAACACAAGTGTGTACAGTGTGCTGTAGTGGGAGTTTTGTATTATAATAGTCCTGTTTCCATTTTGTTATACTCTAGCCAGGATTGAATGTATTAGATGAAATGTGAGGATTTTGTTCAACCTGAAACCCCTGTTACCTTTTTTTTTTTTACTTAAACATTTTTATGATGACTTAAAAGAAAGTTCTTCGTCAGTTAATGTTGGTCGGTTCCAATCATTTGAGATGTTCCTACCTACTTCACAACATTCACTGTATTAACCCTTCTGCAAGATAGATGGGGTGGGTGGTGGTTACAAAGTTTAGTTATGTCTTCAAGATAAAGTCTTAGATAAAAAATAAATGCTCTTTAGTTATATTTTCCCCCGAGTGGTTTATTTTTGGTCTCTGAACATTGAATTTTCTTGCAAAGTATTATCATTTTCAAAACCAATAAGCTGCTACACAGGGAATTTGAAGAGAATTTATATTGTGCTGAAGACTTTGCTGCAGTTTACGTGGCGCTGACACTCTTTTACCTCATTATTAAGCCGTGTACCTGAATCTCAACTGTAGGCCCAGGTTTGTATCTGCTGCTGACAGAAAAACTTTGTAGTGCTACCATTTATCTGTGGCAGCAACCAGGTTGATTCCTTAGTATTGATTGAATACTTTTTTTCTGAGAGGGTTCTGTGCCTTTTCTCAGAGACTTAAGTAGTTGAATACTTAACCACCCGCTTCTGTATGGAAGCTCTAAGAGTGGGAGAAAGACCACAGAAAAGTACAAGATTGCATTTACTGTAGAGTGGTCACACTGTTACTTGAACACACTCTACTGTACTTCCATTCATCACATGCATGGACATTCTCTGGTTCTGCTATTGCCATACTTCACCAGTAGATGCCATACAGTTTTTGGGAGGCTTCATGACTCACCTGACATTCCCCATCTCTGCCCCTGTGTCCACACTAGGGCCTCAGCTAGTTTTCTCTGGTTCTGTGCAGAAACAGATTCTGGATTAAGTACCAAAGGATTATTAAATTGAGGGTGTCTGGCAAAATTAAGCATAACCTGGTTAATGTTTCACTGTGAATTGGCCAAATTTTAAGCTAAAATGTTCTCACAGGAAATAAATAGATCCAGAAGTAAGTTAGGTTGCCCTGTTTTTCACTTGGCCTGCTCTGCTAATAGTTTATTCCTCTGATGTATCACTTGGGAGCTCTGGTAGCATAGTGCCTAAGGCACATGACTGCTAACCAGAAGGCTGGTGGTTCAAACCCACCAGCCATTCCTCAGAAGGAAGGTTGGGCAATCTACTTCCGTAGTGATACTGTCTCGGAAACCCAAGGAGGGGGTCACTAAGTCAGGTCTGATTTGACGGCACATAACAACAACAATGTATCACTTTTTTTTTTTTTTAATCTCTAGATCAGGTCTGGAAGGAATGGATTCTTTGATACGGTATAGCTTCTGCTGTCAGGCTTACAGAGGAAAATAATTTTCTATACAGGAAAATAGGTCTGTATCCTAGATGTTGGATGATGAGAGCAAAAGGGATGGGAGCAGTGTCTTCAATCATAGTTTCAGAAGGAATAGGACTAGAGTAAGTATGGACAAACAGTTGCAACTATATCCAGTACTACAAGGAAGAGGAGCAGAACCTGCCTTTTCATTGTTAAGATGAAATCTGTGACATAACTACTTAAGTGGTTTGGCCTAGCTACAACCGCTGTCACCATGTTGTTAGAGAATTTTGGAGTATTGATTGTGTGGTCTTCCCCTAACCACAAGTAAAACAGGTTTGATTTCTTCCTATAAAGTGATATATTGTAACTTGGAAGATGATGAAACCTACCAGGCAAATTATAAAATTTATTCTCTAATCCATCTTATTTTATATACCTGAGACTTTCTAAAGCATTTTTGACAATGGCTGCTTCTCTGCCCTTTAGTGTTTGATCTAAGAAGGCCACCAGAAATTTAAAAAGGACATCAGCTGTCTCATTCACTTCCAGTTATTTCCAGCAACTCTAAATGCTCAACCAAGTTATATATCTTATTCCCTTTGTTTGGGGTGGGAGTTGTAATTAACTTTTTACTTTCAGCAAGGGAATGATTCAGAGCTAGAGCAGGAGATTTTGAACTGTCCTGTAACCCTCATGTCCAACAGGAGGCAGTATCTCTTGTAATAATTCTGTAGTCAAAGCTTCCAAATCCCTACAAGAGACATGCTTGAGTTAACAAGAGTCATAGAATTCAGAAAAGAGCAAGGCTGTAGCTTCTCACCAGGTAGTTTTAATTCCTTCCAGTCTAGGTGTACTTTACCAATTAGGGGTCATTTGTACTGTAAGCAGTCTTGCCTGAGAACACATTTTGCCATGATCATGTTCCTCAGAAACAGCTAGGAAGTTAACCCAAGGTCAGATTTTTCATAGTGGAGTAGTTTTGTTAATCCTTTATCCATAGATTATTAAGTATGAGACAGCACATCTAGCCATCTTCATAAGGGACGTGGCATTTGAGCTGGGTGTTGAAGGACAGCTAAACTTTGAAAAGAATATAGGGCTGTGAAGTAATAAGCTGGTAGAGCACTGGGGTGTTTGAGGAACAGCAAGTAATCCATTATGGCTGGAGTAAAGAGACTGTTGAGGAGAGTGGTATTATAAAGGCTAGAACAGCTAGGATTAGAGGGCCTTGCCCATGAAGCTACAGCATTTGCATTTCACAGCATGTGATAGCCTTTGAATACTTGAGGCCTATACCCTGTCAAATCTTCACACTAGGATTAAACGGATTAAACTGCTCTGTGTGCTCTGTGTGGACTGGGTTGGAAAGCTGGAGAATATGTCCCAGAAGGCTAGCAGTTTTTCAGTAACACAGGTAAGATGAGGAATTACAAAGCTTTGGGTTTGTAATTTAGGCTGCCACTTCAGTGTTGTTATGTGCCGTCAAGTTGGACCCGGCCATAGTGACCCCTCCTTGAGTTGCCGAGGCAGTATAACTATGGAAGTAGATTGCCCAACTTTCCTTCCGAGGAGTGGCTGGTGGATTTGAACCACCAGCCTTCTGGTTAGCAGTCAAATGCCTTAGGTACTGTGCTACCAAAGCCCCTGCCATTTCAGTAGGGGAATGCAAAGACAGAAAAACAGATTTTTAGGTAAAGAGTAAGGAAATGGTGAAGGATAATCAGGGAAAGCAGTTCATTGAAAATGTTTATATTAATGTTACATATAATAGTGTTATAAAATGTTATTAATATGTTAATATGCAATAATATGGAATTACAGGGAGGACAGGTTTTTTTCTTTTTTTTTGAAATAGAGACAGTCTGCATGTGTGTAAGTAGAGGAAGGGTGTAGGCTTTAAAAAAAAAACTGATGCTTACAGATTGTATTGTTAATTGAAGAGAGTATGTTTTACTGTCCTGATAATTTAACCTCAGAAGAGAGGATCCACAGAAGATGAGGGAGATGGAAAATTGAGGTGGTTTGTGTTAGATGGTCTTAATCCATTAAATGGGTAAAATAGGTCACCATTTTATATGCCACCTTGAAAATGGTGGGGAAAAGTTGGGGGTAATTAATGGAAACAATCGGTCCTAGCGACTGGTACACCATCCAATCCGCAACCTATACAACCATGAGCCCAGAAGAACTAGATGGTGCCCAGCTACCACTGCCATCCACTTGGAAGGGATGTAGGAGATCCTGCATAAAGAGGGAGAACAATGTGGAACAAAACTCAAAATCATTTGGAGGCAAAAAAAAAAAAAGAAGGTGGGGACCAGGTTTGCTGGTCCAATAGAGCCTGGTGTAACCACTGAGACTATGGCCCCTAGCTGCCCTTCAGGTCTGGAATTGAACCCACACCTGTGGTTTCCAGCCAAACAAAGTACAGGCATGTGAGTTAAACATTTACCTCAAGTAGACACACGCCCTGGAGAGAACAATCATGGGAGAAGGAAGGGCTGCTTATGCACAGGGAGACAGCTCAGGGGGCAGAAGAGTATGAAGGGATGGACACTGGGAGGAGGTAACTATGGGGAGGAGGTGGGAGGGGAGCTGCTGCATTGTAAATTTTGGTCAATGACATGAGATAAAGTATATGTGAACTGCTGTATGAAAAGTGAATTTACTCTGTGAATCTTCACCCAAATCCTAAAAAAAAAAAGTTGGGGGCAGATTTGGGAAATGTATAATAGAAGGTTAACACATTTTTAATGGAACAAGTCATCTCGGTTTCTCCACATCAATTATTACGTTTTACAGATTTTTAAGAGTGATTATCCAAGGTCGTAAAGTAACACAGGGCTGTCTAACTCTAAATTATAAAACAGCTAAATTCCTTCTTCCAAACTAATGGATTCCAAATACTGGTCCTCCAACTGATTTGGAGGTCGTATAGTTCATCACTTGAGAAGGTTTTTTTTAAATCAGCTTTCCAGACCCTCCAGGGCAGAGATTGGTAGACTTCTTTGTAAAGAACCAGTACTAAAGAAAAGGTATTTTAGACTTTGTGGGCTACACGCAGGCTCTGTTGCACATTGTTCTTTGTGTTGTTGTTTTTTTTTCAACCCTTTAAAGGTGTGAAAACCATTCTTCGCTTGCCAGCCATACAAAAATAGGCTGTAGGCTGGGTTTGGCCTGCAGGTTGTAGTTTGCCACTGTCTAGACTAGATAATCTGATTCAGTTGGTCTGAGTTAAGACCTGGAAAAATCAGGACTTTTTCTAAAGGTCCCCAGTACCTCCACTTAGAGCAACAATAGAGTATTAAGGGCCAGGTTTAACAACTGGAAAACTGGACAAATAAGAGATTATTTTCAGACACTGGACAACAAGGAGCACAGGTCCATGAACCTTGAGAGAAGGAAAACAAAAGTGAGCCCTACAATCACCACTGCATTCTCTCTAGAGGCATTTTTTTGAAGGCAAGTGCAGGGAGGGGTAACCCAAACAGCCAAGTGGCCTTGCAGAATTGAGGAAACAGATCAGAGACTGAGGAAGGCTGAGACAGCTGGAAGTTGTAGGACAAAGTGATGGAAAGGAACTTTGCTTGTCTGCATATGGATTCCCTGACATCTTTGCTGAGTACCAGGCTGGGCAAAGAATGGCCAGGGAATCAGAAGAACAGTTCTCCAAGTGTTTGTGTAGCGTCAGGAGACACAAGTTCTGACCCTCCGAGTGGGGGTCCTGGGTGATCACCCATGAAGGAAGATAGCAATAGCCAGACACCAAATAAAGTAATAATCACAGTTGCCCAGCATTCAAATTACTAGATGTGCAAAGTAGCAGACGAATAACACTTACACCCAAAGACAAAATTCAGTAAATAGAAACTTACCCAGACATTATGAAAGTAGCAGAGAAGAACATTAA